GAAATTATTTAATAGATACGAACAGACAGTTTTCACATCTTTTTTTGATTGTTCCTGGTTTTAGCCAGAAAAAAAGAACCAAAACTTGGGCAAAAATCACTCTTCTGCGTCCTAATTTGCGTGCAAACTCGCACGCAATCTGTCACAATTGTCATCTCAGTTATATGTCATCCATATCACTTGTCAGTGTTTTGCATCGTATTTCCTCACCTGTGGAAATTTCTTTGCCACTTCGTTTANATGAATGATAGATCGGAAATTGAAAAATGCTTGGTCCGTTCGTTTTGTATTTTAAAGACTCGACAAAAACACACTGAAAAATGTGAACATTGATAGAAATGATTGCCAACGGCTTCAGTAAGTCATTATGAGAAATAATTCATTTGTGAGAACAACGAAAACGCATTTTGTGCATCAAAATGTGTTTTTGTGTTACATTTTGACGAACATACGTTTAATAAATTGCATTTTCACTCGCAGTTTAAGTGAGATGATCTTCAATAATATGCGGGCGCTTTTGTGCTTTCGAAAAATAAAAAACGGAAGTGATTCTTTAACGACAACTACATCTCAAACTCACTTGTACAACTTGAGCAGAACACGTATGAAGTCAGTAACCGATAGAATCCCAACAACCGATCCATCAGATTCCGGATCGGACAACAGCACATGTCGAGTATCTGCCAATTGAAAGGTTACGACTGATTTCGCGAAAAAAAATTTCCCTTTGGCAACAAATGATTCGGGCGAAAACCATAAGGACTTTGTTGGATAAATTTCACAGGAAGAGATCGTCCATTTACGAGAGTAACTGTGAAGTTCTTACGGAAAGCATGAGCGAAACTTATCCGCCTTGAGTTTTCACTGTAATTTTTTAACCCTCCGAAACTGGATTGTGCAATTGTGCAATTCAACGATCGTAATGTAGCTGTGCGTTTTATGTAGCGTAACGTCAATTGTTGCACATGACTTCAAGCAATTCAAGAAATTCACATCATGTGGATATCTGAATCAAACTCTAAAAATTCTATCGAATAGAATATTATTATCGTGAACGCACACACTTTGATAGATGAGACCATTGAATGCTTTCCTCAGCTGCAAATTTACATCGAAAACGACCATTTTCGAACTGGCCGGCATTGCATCATAACACGCGTTGTACTGCAGAAGCCGTGCATAATTCAGGTCACTCTCAGGACTTGTTATTTGAAGTTGCGATCTTGGTGTGGACGACGACGATGTGGGCGTATTGGGTGCCCCATACTCGGCACTTCGTGAGCCACCACTGATCGTCATTTCATCCGTTGATGTGGAGTAACTGAAAATTCATTTGAAAGTGATCTATTTTTTTCGCGGTTATTGTGGTTATTCATGAATGATTTGCGATTTAAAAGGATATGAGAGCTACATGAAATGATGTTCAGCTACATTCATTCTCGCATTTGACTAATCGGACATTTTGAGATAATAAGTGAAGAGGAACGCAACGAATGGTTGTTCGCCTGCTAACTCATTGATCATGATTTGTTCAAT